GTGTTGGACATATGGGTTAATGTTGGACTTGTGGGCTTGGGCAGCACTGGGTTGGGATGTTTTCTAGATGCACACTTAACCTCTATATAAAACTCTCTCTTATACATGAGTTTCTGGGGATTTGTTTCTCTAAAGTACGCAGACTAATATAACATCTACCAACACCAAGGAGACCAGGGGGTTTTGAAAAGTTTGTGGAAAAATGGAATGAAAAGGTAATAAGCTTTTCACCACAAGTGTTTTGAAATTCCCTCATACTTTGGCCTTAAGTGGGAATGGAAAAGATAAATTCTAAAACAATAGATGTTTTGTGTTTTTTTCAGATTGAAGAATTAATAAAGACCTATCACAGAAAATAGAGAACATTCAAAGAAGTAGAAAGAAAACAGTATTATCCTTATTCTTTTCTATGCAGATCACGGGCACCATTTCTATGTATATTATGGGAATCTTTCCAACAAAATGGGGATCATTTAGTGGGTAATTTTAGACACGTCCTTTTGTACACGTAACACAGTATGACCAGTTTTCCTGTCCCTAATTACTGAGATGTCTATTTTGTCTAATGAATGAAAAGGTAAAGAAGAATGCCCAAGCTAATTGTTGGTTAAAATGGTGGGATCAGCATGGGTTTTAGATTCAATTTTGATAAATTCTTTCATATTTTGGATATTTTAGATCAACAGAGACTCTGTGGACTACATCTCCCCATGAAAGCAAAACTCACCTTTTAACCTCCACATCTCCGGGCTCCACCTGTGGCAGACAGGTATTTGCAGGAATTACTGTACTGATGTGATCAAGGGAGCTGTATCTGTATTTCACTCAGGAGTCCTTTTCTCACGCTTTGCTTTCATTGCCGTATCAGTGAGCATGCTTGGTGAAGCAGAGGGACAGCCACAGGGAGGGAGGGAGACCCTCAACAAGCAGCACGGACACAGTGGCTACAACGGCCTCGAAAAGAGGAACCACTGTGGATGCGCAGGACCAGGTGGTGTTTCGCTGCGCTGTGTGCATATGAAGAAACTGCAAATGATCTGAGACTAGGGAGGAATACTCATCTAGAATGCGTTAATAGGCACTTTTATGTTTACCCTCTTTGAATTACACACACACACACACACACACACACACACACACACACACCGTGTTGGAGATTAAATAATGGCAAGCAAGACTAGACAATTGGTTAGAATTCTTATGTCTATATGGAACCCAACCTTAAAATGTATCATTGAATAAATAGAATTATTTTGTATTTTATCTGCAAGAGTCACCTATGGAATACTGGATGAAAAAAATACCCCGCCACACGTAAGCACAAAACACACGAGCACTGCAAAAAATTATCATTCAAAACGAGCAACTTACACGGTGAAAAAAAATCTCACTGCTCAGGAAAAATGAATATTCTCTATTATTTCCAAGATACTGGGTAATTTGATTACCATCTATTAATTAATATTCTTTGTTGTTCTTGAGTTCAGGTTTGACTTTGACTCTAGTCCATGCCAAGAAAAGCCCTTACCCCATCCCATGATCCCTATGCGCAGTAAAGTACATGCAAACAAATGCAGGTATGCACATCAGGGGCAAGGGCAGAGCTGTCTCCTGGATGTGGACAGCAGGGACATTCCCGCACCAGCAGGAAATCTGTGCATGGATAAAAATGGAACACAGAGCACACACCAAGTAGGATGCGTTGACCATGATGCCATCCAGTTGACTTCAGACTTAAAAACGTGGCACTCATCCCAAATTCTGCAGAACCTTTTTGTGCTGCAGGGTGGCTTCGAAAGCTTCTGAGCATGCAAACCATATTTCTTCACAGCAAAACTAAATTCAAGGCAGCTATTTGCATCCTCATTCCAAAAATAAGACTTCATCTCATTAAACATCACCTTTACAACGTTTGCAAACATGATTTGGTTGTTGTCTATCAAGTTTACACGTTACATGATGTTTCATTTCATCTGAAAAAAACCAAACCCATCACTGTAGAGCTGAGCCTGAACTTGCTCATTCGGTTTCTAAGGCTGCAAATCCTTATGGAAGCAGACTGCCACATCTTTTTCGCCCAGAGAAGCTACTGACTGGAGACCTCGGGCCTTTGGTGAGCAGCCAAGGAAGGGCTTAGCTACCAACCCACTAGTTTCCCATTGTTCCATTACCAGCCAGTTTATCCTCTCGCCATCTACATTTAATTTTCCACCTTTCTCAAATGTGAAGGCAACCATCAGACTGTTCTCAGCTCTTCAAACATCTGACAACACAAATTGTGCCCGATATAAACATTGACATTGTCAAAAGCAAATGTTTCCAGCAGTCCAAATGCCAATGCATTTCAAAATTGATTTGGATCAGGTACAATTTACTGAATTGGAAAGATTTTTTAAAAAGTCAGTTGCTTAAAAACAACAACAGCTTATGTGTGATTTTTTAAACAATAGGCAATCCTCAATTTTAGGGAGAAGCTGTCGTGGAGCTCATTTTTAATTTTTCCCCTTCAATACCAACATTTCCTTTTGCGTATCTGATGGAAAATGAAAATTAAATATCCTTTATTTGTGTTAGCCTGCCAGCTTTCTGATTGAACTCCCAAGATAACCCTTCCCTAAAGATACATTTATTTTTAACCTTTCAACACTTGCTGTAACTCACAACCTCAAGGTCTGGCCTTGGTCCTTCCTTCCTTACTATCCTTCCGTCCTCTTGTCCTTCCCACTGCCCACCTGTGCTTGCTGTGCTTCAGTCCTGCGGGACACCTGTCAGGAACTTTCTGGAGTTCAGGCCCCAAACCCCATTCTGCCACGAGCTTTTTCACTGCTTGTCTTTTTGCCTAGAATACAATCATTCCTTCCATGGTCCTCCACCAGAAAAAAGAAAGAATTATTACATTTTTAGTCAAAAGCACAACTGGCCCTTTTAAAGTTCTGACCGCTGAAGACATGATCGTGGCTTCAAAAGAACTGTATGCCTTTATAGAGAGGTATATGTCTCACCCATGTCGAGGTCCTTGTATGGCTGGTAAAAATATAACAGCAGATGGGGAAATCATGAAAGCAGGCTTCCTCTAGATCCAGAATACACTAAATGACCTACATAGGACCTTCCTACCCAGAGAGAGAGAAATGATTCTGAAATCACATTCAAGCCAGCACATAATGATTTTGCAGCTAAATAACTAATCGCAGCCAACAGCTTTTACAACTTCCTTCATGATCCAAGTCAGTCACGAACAACTCTTTGAAATATCTTTAGTTTCTTTCCTGCTTTTTATTTCGTTTCTCTTTTTTCCTTTTTTGGTGTGTGTGACAATTACGTGGTACGAAAAAATTCCAATGTGTCAAAAGGGGAAAAGATACATTACAAACCAGTAGCAAGTGTGGCAAATAGAAGGTGGAAGGGGAGGAGAGCCCAGGGACCAAAGGAGCCTCAGCCCTGCAGAGGAGCCGCCAGCAATAACAAAAGTTGTCTATCATTTTAACCCCAATTTCTTGCACACAAATGATTTTCCATTCCTCTGGAGCTCGCAACAACTAAATCACCTTCAAATACAATTTTCCAAGCATGGTGTTTTTTCTTCCCTTTCCATGCTCAACAATCTCCTCAACAATAAAATGTAAGCCAAATAGAATTGAACCAGCAAGAGCAATTGGAGGCCTCTCTCCGTGCAGACCCTTTGGGCAGGCTGCCCTTCCCCGGGGTGAGGAAGAGCTCAACATCTGGGGGTACGGAAGGAGGGGGGACACAGAGGTGAGACTCCCAAAGCAGAACTCAGCGTTTCTGGGTAGGAGCTACCACTCTTAGCCAGCAAGACACCCCTTGGAAAATTAATTATTGATTTTCTTATAAATCATCCAAAGTGATTTTTTTGTTCTTTGTTTGTATTCCCTCCCCGGATGACAAACGTCTAATTTTACTCCTGTTAATTTCTCTCTCTCTCTTTGTTGAGGTCAAAAGACGCTCCAGTCAGAAGCACCTGAGAGGGGTGATTTTTTCCGCAGCATGGTATGCACTGGAAAAGGCAATCCTGCTTTCCCACCTTCACGGGGTACCAAGGGATAGGACTTCGGGCAACCCCCCCCCACAAGGGGTTTGGAATAATTAGAAACATGAGTGTTTGGCTGCCTACGGAGAAAAAGAACAATTTCGATGTCATTGTTTTGGTTGGCAGCAAGTCTGAGGATGGCGGTATCCCCAGGTGGAAAGACAAAGTCGTGGCAGACAGTGAAGAACTGGTTCTCAAAGCAGTGGAGGGGCCAGCCTCCTCCTCTGCTGCACCCTAGACGCCGGGAGGCTGCTTACCTTCCTGCCCCCTGTGTTGATGCGAAGGGGTGTCAGAAAGGGGTCGAAGATCATGTGGCTGGTCTCGATGTTGACCGGCGACTGCCGTTTCCCCACAGAGCAAAGGTTCCAAGCGGAGTTCACCAGTCCCCAGAACGAAGGCACTAGAAAAGAAAGCGCAGGGTTAGGTGGGGAGGCAGGCCGGCGAGCCCTGATACAGACTTTGGGAAAAAATCAACGTTTTTGACTAAGGGAGACATGGCCCGTGTCCCTCCTAGACAGCCCTGGGATTGCCAAGGCCCGCATTTGCAAGTTCTCTCGATCTTCACATCCATCGTCTCTTTGGGTTGGATTGTGTCGTGCTAGGTCCATCTTTCCTGTACAGTTAGCATGCATACTTTAAAAATGGAAAGACAGATGCATGCAGCGAGGTCAGCATATACAAGTGATACTAGATATTTAACAATGCTTGAGGCAGTGCTCTGTCTTCCCAGTTGGCTAGAGCCAAACCCAAACCCAACCAACTGCTACCCAGTTAATTCTGATGGCCAGCAACCCTGGCAGCATAGCGCACTACTCACTGGGCTGCGAACCACAGGGTCTGCGATTCAGAGCCGCCAGCCTTGAGAGAGAGGAGGCTTTCTGCTCCTCAGAAACCGACAGGAGCCACTCGACTCGACCCTTCAGGGCCCTTAGGAGTCTACCTGGAGTACCGTGGCCCACAGTGCAGGAAGACTGCGCCCTGGGGACAATGCGGGAGCGATCCAGGGACGATGTAACGTCAGACACGTATGTTCCAGCCTGAAGTACGGGCTATGGCAAAAAGCCTTTTAATTGCCAGGGGAGCACTGAGGACTTCTTTTTTTCTGGAAAAGAAGCCCTGCTATTGTAGTGGGTTACCCTTGGGGGGCTAGCCACCAGGGGCTCCTCTGGAGAAAGACGGGGTTTCACTTCTCTCAAGAGTCATGGTTCTGGAAAACCACAGGGGGGCTCTACCCCACCTGAGAGGTTGCTACGTATTGGAATCCGTTCAACAGCAGCCAGTGAGGCCAAGCATGTTTGGGAGCCTATGAGGCATCTGGATGTTTTCCGAGAACGCAGCATGTGACCTATGGGAGGTGAGGGCCTGTGCGTTGTCCAGGCGGGAGTGAGGCATGTTCACGGTCCACAATCAGTGCCTGATGGGAGCTTGGCAACTGGACTCGGCCTGTCTCGGGTCCAGCACTGGGTCATTCGCCTACTGTACCAGCAGCTGAGGAACGTGTTCATTTGACGGGCAGAAAGAATGCCAGTGAGCACCGAGTGCCACTCTCAAAAGGAAAATCCTCCAGCCGCTTTCAGTGTCAAATTAAAAAACAAAAACAAAATCTTCACATAAAGTTCTACGCCAGTGGCTGGTTCTATTTTCTTCGTTTAAGAAAGTGAACGGAGTGGAAGGGAGTCTGCATACTCATTTGATGTCTGCAAAGATCAGAGCTTAGAGCTATTTCCTGCCTCTCCCCCTCTCAGCAGTCCCAAAGAAGCCCTGAGACTTCCACAGTCATTCATTCATCCTCTGATGACGAAATCATTCTTTCACCCCTCTACACACAGTATGTCGACAGTGAACTTCTAGTGTGTATCCAACCCCGGGGTAGGCCCTGAAGGTGCAGGAATGGGCTGGGAAGAACACAAGCACCATTACCAGATTAGTGACAGACTAACTCAAGTGTGTTACGGGACTCAGCGGGCCCGGAAGGCTGCAGTAGGGCCAGTGGGAGTCCTGGAGAAGATGAGCCTCAAGGTCAAGTCCCAACTTCATCAGTGGCCCTATCCTCTCGGGAACCCCGTGCAAAGTGAACTGCCTTGAATTTGCAGCAGTCTTTGTTTCCTCTTGCCATGGGTACAACTCAGGCAAGAGAGCAATCTAGTAGATACTTGTCAGAGACCACCCAAGAGAACGAGTAAAATAATTGGGTGGTACCTTGTGTCCCATCTAAACACATGATTCTAGGGCTCTCTTGATGCAGGCAACCACTGAACAGAAGTGAGAGAAGTATTAAAAACAAGTTCCTTGGATTCCTAGAGAAATATGCCCATACCGATATAAAAGAAGTCTCATCGTCAAATACGGCGGGTCTCTACTTCAGTTGAGTTCATGCTGATGCGCCTCTGGCGGTGTATTCCTTCTAGAGTAGAGTGTGTCAGTTGGCCTTCTTGTCATAACGCTGGTGCTCGAAATGGGAGGGAGCCCTGGCCCGAGTCACAGAGGAAGAGACAGACGGGGAAGAGGCACGCTCTTCTTTCTCACCATCGTTTGTACTGAGCTATAGCTGCAAACCATTCAGCCTCTCTCAAAGATACCATATCCTAGCAAAATTACGTTAGCGAAAGGTCTAGCATTCACAGGGTACTTGATGAAACACAAATTCCCCCTTCCTCAGCTGCTTCTCCCCGCTCCCGAAATCATGGACTGAATCCTATGCGTATTCCTCAATCCTTTCCCGTTGATCCTGAAAATAAGGCTTCATCAGGGCACCATCCTAGCCTTCTTGGTCAGGGATGCATCTGAATGTGGCTGGTGTGAGGGTGGCTCGGAGCAGTCACGGCACTGATGGGAATGATCGTATTTTTCTTCGGCACACACACAATGCACCCACACACAGAATGCACGGAGATGACAGTCATGTCAGAGAAGTTCGGCATAGTGAGGCCCGGCATACACCATGCCCGTCTACTGACATTCCCAGATGTGACTGTCCCATTCACCCTCATTCCATAGTCCGAAAATGTTTATTTCAGATCTTATTTGCATAAGAAAGGTAGAAGCCCAGTAGAAGGTAGAAGACCTCCTGGATGGAGTTTGGCAGTGCCATGGTAATAACTGAAACGGGGTGGCTGCTCTGGGGACAGCGTGTGGACAAACCAATGAGCTGTGGAGTCACTGGTAGCCAATCTGCACCCAGAGATGCTGCCTGGAGGCCAGTGATAGGATGGCTCAAAGGCTGTGTGTCCACAGCCACAGCTGGACCATGGGCTGGCCTTCATGGTAGGTAGAGCCAGTCACCCAAAGTAGGCCCCACATGCAGCTGGATGGGAAGATGGTGTGGGTGCGGTATACACTGCCCTGGCATGGCCAGTTGGACCTGTCTCATCCAAGTGAGGGCCTTGCGCCTGCAGCTCTCTGACATCTGCCCCGTTGCATCTGCACAGGTGGGCGATTCAAACCTGAGAGCCTGGCCAGATGAACCCCTTCTGCCTGGGCTCACACACATCCTGCAGGCAGCCCCATCCTAGCAAGGGCTGTTTCCAGGATGGAAAGACTGCTTTGGAGGAGACAATCTGCAGGACAGGGAAGAGATCCCGACAGAGGGGCTGCTCTAGGAATTTGACGGTAGGCTGGTCAGCTGCTGGGAGCCCAACCTTTGTATCAGCAGACTCCAAGGCCAAGTCTTAACACGAAAAATCATTTGGTAGGGGAAAAATTGATATACAGTCAGCAACATGTAAAAAACACAAATTCTTTAGGGGAGCGGCTAGATTCACTTTACATCCTCAAGGCAGCTGGTGGGTTTGAACCATCAAGCTTGCAGTTAGCAGCTCAACGTTTTACCCAACCAGGCCACTAGGGCTCCTTATTTTTGACAACCGGACACCTATCATGTCTGGGTGGGGTGGGAGGGTCTTCCCTGGGAAGCAGCTGCGTGATAAATGTAGTGACAGCTGGTACACATTGTCTTTCATCTACTCCCATGAAAATCATTAACAAAAATAATTCCAAGCCCATAAATGAAGCGCGAGACTGCTGTGACAGGGCAAGATGGGCAGGCAAATTGCTGCTGTGTCGTTCCAATAAATGTCACACCCAAAAGTCCCCCACAAAAACACAAACTGCAAAAACTTTATGCGAACATCTGCCTTTGCATTTATTGGGCATGGGATTCGTTATGACAAATGGTTTGAGAGTTTTATATTCCCACTTCACTCTCAAGGCCTACGTGTGTGGTTCTAACCACCTGCTCAGCCAACAGAGGCCCAATCGAGAAACACTCTCCCCCTGCTCAGCTGTGTCCTTATTAGCACCACTCCTGGAGGCTTTTCCATCGAAGTTTATTTACTGAGTTGCTGATTATATTTCAGCTGTAAATTAATAGCCTTTCAGAGGTAGAAACCACCTTAGGGATCACTCATTCCAAATGTATACATGGAATGAAGGCCACAACCCCGAAAGGCAAATTCATCAGGGCTAGGTCACGTAGCCTGGGAGAGGCAGAGAGAGGTGCAGACCCCAGGACTAAAGGGCTCTAGTCCTCTGCTTGTCCACTGCCCTGAACACTCCTCCTGCCTCCCACGCAGGCTGCCATCCTGAGCAGACGATGGTAGCCAGAGCGTTTGGGTTAATTGCTACCCTGGACATCGCGAACCTTTGGCTGCTGTTTCTATGTTGGCGAGTCAAAAGGAGCAGTGGCATGTCTTGTCCAGTCAAAATGAATTTCCAGGGTTTCAGTTGATGGTGTCGAGAGCCGACTGGCCCAAATAGAGCAAGGATTTTACAAGCACCATGCAGCTAGGTGGCGAAGCTGCCAGAATGGCCTGGGTGGGAGAAGGGCAAGAGAGGATGCTCATGGGCCTTGAGAAGACTTGGTGGGGCCAACTATCCCTGGTCCAGGATGGGAACTGCTCAGAAACCATGACCAGGGGCTGGCTGGACTGGATAAGGTTGCGTCCAGACAAAAAGAGAGGTCAGTGCAGGGAGACGCAGGCAACAAGGAATGTGTTGAAGCGAGTCCAGGGATGGCAGGTGTCACCTGAATGGGCCCGGAACAGGTCTGCAAATGCAACGTCATCTCATGGGTGGGGTCGTCATTGTAAGACATCCTCAAGCTGGCCTCTGACTCCTGGGGACCGCATGCACAACCCACGGCTGCCCGGTCCTACACCGCCTCCATGACTGCTTCTGCATCCAGAAAGTTGCCGCTGGTTAATTTTTGTCAGTCGATCACCAGGTGTTGCTCCCTAGCCCATCTCCTTCTGGAAGCCACCCTGGAACTTTCTCAGCATCCAGGCAAGAGAGAAACCTCCACCGACACACAGATGGAGGCTGTAATGAGATGTAATGGCTAGAATTTGCGCCCAGGTCTCCCTCATGGAAAGGAAGCATCTACCACGGAGGCATCGCGTCGCC